TTTTGAAATCTCTGTAAATGAAAACTAAAGGGGTTGATATGTGCGAGTTAATGACGCGCCTTATCAACACATTGTGTTGGAGTTCACTGCTTGTTTCCTCTTGTATTCATTTTTGCAGTTTCCGTCGGCACAACTGCGGCTCGTTGAGATTAATTTCGCTTGGAAAAGGTTTTACAAATATGTGTCATGTTTTAAAATTATAAATGTTTTCAAAATGAAGTAATAATTTCGTAAAGAAAAAATTTTAAAAAAAATCAAGACAGTTCTTCATCCGACCAAAATGGACAAAATTACAAAATTTGAATCAGTTAACGTAAATCTAACGATAGTTATCGTAATCGAAAGAATTGACGACATAGGTCGGGTAACTATTATAGGTGGGATATTGTACATCGAATATTTTAAGGATAGAAATAAAACCAAATATTCACCAATGACAATTTAAAAAGATGATTCAAAAGGAGAAAGTAATAACATTTCATTTAGAAAATGAGCAACCATAAGAACACCTCCTTCTCTCTCAATTTCTCATTTCCATATTGTATATATAACGCGCATAAAATATAACGCTTGGACCTAGTCACTATTGCTTATTTTACGTGTGGGCGTAAATTACTGGACATCAAAGGTGCGCGGACAAAAAATCGTTGACAAAATGTCCTGAAACCCCATTTCCAGCTATTTTTGAAATTTTCTATTTCTTCCTCATGTATAATAACACATATCTGCAGTGGAAACTAATGACACCGATGTTGTTTCTAGAATGAGCCACAAATTGTAGTTCCTAATTGCAAAATGCAGTCCTAGAATAAACCCGGCCTCAAAAAAATATGCGGGCTTTGCTAGCCAACATCCGAAGCGATCAATGCGTGCTGATTTTTGTCTGATTTTTTGCTGATTATCGTCGCTTTTCTGACGTAAATACGTATCTCGATTCCCAGTGGTGAGGCGTGAATGATCGATTATCGATATTTCTCCATTTGAAGCCATGGTAAAGAATCGATTATTAAGGTTACCCTGTTTATCGATCCTTTCCCATAGGTTTAAATGGCAAATCAATCGATACATCGCGAAGCACGTCACGCCTGTGTCAATTTCCGCATGAGCCCTAGAAAGCATAAATTTATATGTAAAACAGGGCTCATGTAGGAAATAAGATACGCCCTTACGTTAGAGGATCGACGTTATATACGAGTAATTAAAGCCCTCGAGAGCTGAGCCTCTACTCGTGAATGAGTTGACTTGTTTCGCCTTCAATGACGACTATCGGCAAACCAACTTACTTTGACGCTGCGATATTTGTCTCTGGAGCCATCGAAGGAAATTTCCGATCGATTTTTTCCTCTGTAATATCCTCCACTCTTCCACTCTTGTCTCTCGTGGATGGTTGAACTATTGCATTCTTTCAACCATCCAAGAGTGAAGTATTATCCAAACGTCATCTCATAACGAGGATTTGCTAAACGAATGAGTTTTTTGTTGGCGAAAAGCGTCAGCTGTTTTGTAAAGTTTTGATTCCTCCAGTTTTCCATTTCTCAGTTTCAGTTCGGTATGATACCTTGCCCATAAAGGTGATCTAAAAGCGTCCTCCGAGTGTTATTTCTTTCCATACCACCTTTAGCTTTTACCTTTAGCCTTTAGGGGGCGTGTTGGCGAAAAGCGTCAGCTGTTTTGTAAAGTTTTGATTCCTCCAGTTTTCCATTTCTCAGTTTCAGTTCGGTATGATACCTTGCCCATAAAGGTGATCTAAAAGCGTCCTCCGAGTGTTATTTCTTTCCATACCACCTTTAGCTTTTACCTTTAGCCTTTATTTTTTCCTGCATTGTTGGGTCACTTATGGTCATCCGTCACCTTCGGGTCTAAGTTCATAATGGAACTTTTTTAACTCCTCAGCCCAAAATAGCTGAAAATTCATGTTTTTTGCGGTTCTACCTTAGATTACAACCTGGATCCAAAGGTGACAGGTGACCATATTTTCGTGTTTCACGTCTACGTCTCTAAGCCTCCTTCACAACATCTTCGAAGCTCATGACCTGTCGCCTTTGGGCTCAGGTTGAAAGCTAGGGTAGAACCCCGAAAAACATGAATTTCCAACTATTTTGGCTAAAAAGTTAGAAAAGTTTGATTTTGAACTTTGGCTCCAAGGTGAGAGGTGGCCATATTCCCGTAGGCTTTATGTGCCTTTCACAGCATCTTCGAAGCTCTCGACCAGTTACTGTTGGATCTAGAGCAAAATCTGAGGTAGAACATTCAAAAACGCGAATTTACCGTGATTTTGGGCTCCGGAGCCATATTTAGTCCCCTGTGCTGAAGCAAAAAAATGTGAGTATCGGCAAAACCCGACTATTTCTGTAAACTACGCATCGTCAACTGCCAAATATCCAAAAACGTCCCGATTCCATGGAGAGGCCGATTTCGGTCCGAATCGCACATCCTCTTTTACAAAATAATAGAATTTTTCATACATGCAGTGTGTTATGATTTATAATGTCAACTTGCAGTTCCTTGGAGCTATCCAATTCATTGAATTTTTCGGACTCCGGATTTGGACAACTACTGACACTTTTTCTTCTCACGCATCGCGGAGATTCCTCGGTGATGCCAGATCGATTTTCATCTTACCCTATCGAGGAGCTCAGAATGGGTCAGTTGCGCTGGTCATAGAATCGTGTTTTGATGCTTTATTCTTGCAGATCAGCTAGAAATAAAAAGATCCGTCTGAACAGCAACTTTCTACGGAAGATTAACCGAGATATCACCCCTTGAAAAGTCAAGTTTTTGACGTCATCCACCGCAGTAACAACACCCTTGGTTTCCTCCATCTTGCTTTCATCCGAGTTTCACATTGAACAATCAATTCAAATGTGCGTCACATACCGCCTGATGAAAGCAAGGAGGAAGAAACCAAGAGTGTCACTACCGCGGTGAATGACGTCAAAAACTCGACTTTTCAAGGGGCGATATTTAGGTTTATCTTCCGTAGAAAGTTGCTGTTTAGACGATTCTTGTTATTTTTAACTGATCTACAAGGATCAAACGTCAAAACACGATTCTGTGACCAGCGCAACCGACCCATTTTATTCGTGTGATTCGTACCGTGGCAATCAGAAACAGTGCTTTTTAGAGACCCTGCATCTACATATGGACCACATAATTCGATAAGGAACCACTATTTCTGGCTCATTTTAGGTACCACGTATGAGGTTTCCCTATACAGGAAGGTGCGTTTGTGGAAGAGCTGTAGATAGTGGTTCCATATTGCAAAATGTAATCCATATAATGTAAGCAATTTATTCGGTCGAAGTGAAAGTTAAATTTGGGGGTCAAAATGCCGAAAAAGCGCGTTTCGTAATTTAGGGACGGCCCCCAACCGATAAGACGAAGTCGGTATAGCGGGAGTCAAAGGGCGCGAAGAAGTGTCGTACGGGATTGGCCCGCATAGTGATCAGGGGGCGTAGCCTCCACTGGAAAAAAAAAAAAAAAACACATTGGATCTAGAGTCCAGACTCTTGAAAACATCGACAAGAAAAAGGACTCTTGATTCAATCAGATTTAAGCTGAAATCAAAAGGAGATCCGCTGAAATCAAGAGGCTTGGTTCTCGATTTAAGCTAAAATCTGATTGAATCAAGAGTGTTCTTTCTTGTCGATGTTTTTAAGAGTCTGGACTCTAGATTCAATGTGTTTATTTTCCAGTGTGCACATTGTTCTGATTGATAGAAATACGTCCAAGTGTCGTATGGGTTGGCTTGCGTTGTGATCAAAGAGCGTAGCCTCCCTCAGTAGAAAAAAAACACAATGGATCTAGAGTCCAGACTCTTGAAAACATTGACATGAAAAAATACTCTTGATTCAATCGGATTTTTGCTTGAATCAAAACGAAATCCGCTTAAATTAAGAGGCTTGGTTCTTGATTTAAGCTAGATTCTGATTGAATCAAGAGTACTTTTTCTAGCCGATGTTTTTAAGAGTCTAGACTCTAGGTCCAATGTGTTTTTTTTCCAGCGTAATTCTGTTTGATAGAAATACGTCCAAGTTTCGTATATGGGGTTGGCCCGCGGTGTGATCAGGGGGCGTAGCCTCCCTGTACTTTACTGTATGCAAAACCCGAATGGTTTTCGAGTGACATCTGACAGACATGTTTCTGGACGCACGTTGCCCGCGCGCATACCTGCGAAGACGCATGCGCACGTAGTCGGGAGCCGTTTCGTTTTCAGTTCGCGCCTGCGCCTCTTCCGAATCCGCGCTCTCTTTGAGTCGGAGGCTTTGAGACTCCTCACTCGCTGCCTGGCCGCCCTGCCCGAAACGCTAAAAATACGAGCAGTTTCACCCCGAGAAATCAACCGAACGTGCTCCCATCCACGTCCAAATGGACGTATTTCCGCCAAACGGAACTTTGTCCATGAAGACATGAGCCCTGTTATGCATGTATTCTTATGAGTCTCAGGGCTCATGTCCTAAAGCACAAAGTTCCGTTTGGCAGAAATACGTCCGAATAAATCAAACTCCGGCTAGAATGTACCCGGGACGCTTCTTTCGTAAAGTGCCGTGAATAGTGTCCATGGAATTATAAGCGATACTTGTCCTAGGAGAGAAATCGGGCAGAAATGGTCGATTTTTAACAACATTTTGTGATTTTTCGACCCGCACCGAAAAAAAAGTGAAGTTGAATCGACATCCTGGATGTAAAAAATTGTGCGAGAACTTATAAAATGCTGAACACTGGAAAAAAATCACATTGGATCCAGAGTACAGACTCTTGAAAAAATCGACAAGAAAAAGGACTCTTGATTCGATCAGATTTTGGCTTAAATCAAAAGGCAATCCGCTCAAATCAAGAGGCTTGGTTCTTGATTTAAGCAAAAATCCGATTGAATCAAGAGTATTTTTTCTTGTCAATGTTTTTAAGAGTCTAGACTCTAGATCCAATGGGTTTTTTTTCCAGTGAATTATCCGCCATTAGCAGTTAGATTTACATCTTGGCATTGCTAAAGTAACTGCTGGAGCGGGTGATTCAGCATTTTAGAAGTTCTCGCACACTGTTTTTACATCCGAAATGTGAAATCAACTTCACTTTTTTTCGGTGTAAAAATTTGTTACTTACGGAGAATAATACATTCACTGACGAAAGGTATGCAGGGTTGCCACGGTCAAGGAATAATTCAGATTCTATTCATCAACAGATTCTATTTCAGCAAATATCGTTACTTCAGTCGTATTCGTCAAAAGTATGGTAAACACCACCTGGATCACATTTTTCAAAAAGGAACCAGCGCGATTACGGTGTTTTCAAAATGGTGCAACTTCTTCCTTCCTTTTACGAATACTCAATATGTGTACAGCGTTAAAATTTACACAATTATTTTCCTTTAAAATTAACAACTTTCAGGTGGGAAGCACAAAGTACTTGCTGATCTGAGAGATTTTTTTGATAATTATGAAGAAGCAACATTTTTACAACACTGTACAATCGCGCTGGTTCCTTTTTGCTAAATGCGATCCACCTGGTGTTTGGTTCTTGACGTACATAGACATCATTGGACATCGACAACCATTGATCTGTACATTATTTCTTGAAATTTTGCCGTTGCACTTGTTTTGGTTTCACTTTGTTTTACTTTAAGTCCCAGTGTTCAGAAAAATAATTTATAATAATTATATTTTATTTTTTCTTGGTTCCAGGTTTGTGCGCCTATTCCTGCCAACTTTCTCTTGTGTGCCTCTCTTTTACCTTTAATAACCGCGACAACGTGGACAATTTCAAGGTAAGACCATAAGGATTACATTTTATAATACAGACTCACTATCTCTGGCTGTCCTATAAAAGCACATATCTGCATAGGGAAACCAATGTATGTTGTTTTTAAAATGAGCCAGAAATAGTGGTTCCTTATTGCGAAATGTAAATCTCGGCCAGAATCAAATTCGCGAAACACTCTCCGAAAAAATTGTGTTTTTTGATTTCCCAGACGCTTTTCTGACACGAAAATTGCTTACTTAAGACAATTCTCTGACATGCCGAAGTTTTGCAAGTTCCCTGACATTTTCCCTGATTCCCCTGACACCCAAAAAAATTTGTCACCAGTACGTGTTGCACCAAACAGCGTATCTTTTTGAGGGAAAATTGTGCTTGTGTGTGAGCTTTTTCCCTCTGTATTGAGATTTTCAGCTTATTGCTGAATTTTAACAAAATTTTCAATTTGGTTAAAAAAATAAATCCAATTTACCGTCAAAAAAGTTCCTTGACATTTCCCGGGTCTCTCGGTCGCTAGACACCCTGGCGAATGAGCACAAAACCGGGTTTTTCTGTAGGCCTGGACACACGCTCAAATGTCCATCAATTTCCGATCAAATGGTGACTGGTGCGCACCATCTACCATCAAATTTTTGCGGCCTGCAAAAATTTGACCGCCATTTTTGTCATCATTTTGATCGGAAATTGCCGGAAATTTGAGCGTGTATGTAAGCCTTGTGAGCTATCGAGTGTTCTTCACGAGTACGTACCTGAGGATTTGGGCCTGAGGAGCAAGGGTATGATAGTCCAGGAGTCCTTACTGCCTATAGGTTTGTAGACTAGATCGTAGACGCGGTCGGTGATGCCGAGGATCTTGCGGACCTGGGAGCCCTGGTCACTGTTGATGGAGGCGGGGGCCATGTGGAACTGGATGTCCGGGTACAACCCCGACTCGTTGGCGAACTTGGTGTTGACGAACCCCAGCCCCTCGACGCCCCCCAGTGTCGTCATCGGACCCCGCTCCTTCACCACGTAGCTCATCGTCACCGGGACCGCCTGGAGAAAACAGGAAAGGAAAATCATTACGTGAGAAAGAATCGAATGGTAACCACGTACCCGGAGAAAAAAACCTCGTGCGTGGGACCCAAAGTTTAGGTCATTTGGATCTCTGAAGTTTTCGGATTGAGCATCTGAACACTTTAGCTGTCGAAATTCGGATCACACGTCTGAAACTCCAGTTCTTACATCTGAAGAACTTCAGATGTGAGAACCGAAGTTTTTCGTATGTGAAAACCGAAGTGCTTCAGGTGTAAGAACTGAAGTTTCAGATGTGTGATCCAAACCTCAGCAGCTGGACCTAAAGTGTTCAGATGCTCAATCCGAAAACATCAGAGATCCATATGACCTAAACTTCGGGTCCCACGCACGAAGTTTTTTCCTCCGTGTATGTTCTAGAGAACTTGGTAGAACTTTACTGGACTATTCTGCCGTGCTAAGGAAAAACGCTGTGTGAACCTTCGGACGTTGCCAAATTTCCTTCGATAAAGCACAAATTTCCTGGTAAACTCATGAATATTTTACTTCTAATTTTCCATATAATGTTGTTCGGAACTTCACCTACAGTTCCTGAAAATTTCAAGGAAAAACACTCGTAACTTTCCTCAAAAATAAACATTTTATCGAAGAAAGTTTGGCAACTCTCGAATGTTTATGCGGCATTCTTCCTTAGCACGGCAGTATTGGAAACGGAGATAATATATTTGGATCGCGTTGAGCAGAAGGACTAAGGAACTAAGCCACATCAGCTATTTCCAAATTTAGTTGGGCAATTTAATTTTTACATGAAAGCGGTTGTGCGGATTTTTGTGCCAATTCTATTGTGAATTTTCTACAGAGTATGAAGCAAATTCCTTAAAATTGTCAAATGAATCCGCTGAAAGGTTTTCTCGTAAAAAAAAAAATTGCTAGTTATTAAATTTGGTGATAGCTGATGTGGCATGGTTCCTTTCTGCTGAACTCTTTCGCCCCTCACATTTTAGTTCACTGTAAGACGAAGCCGTTTCCCCTATTGCGGTGAAATACCTAGAGGTAACAAGTTGCAATCACTGTTATTATTAGCTATGAACTGATGAAAAATAAAAATTTTGCTCATTTTAAACTCCACACACTGGAAAAAAACACATTGGATCTAGAGTCTAGACTCATGAAAACATTGACAAGAAAAAGGGCTCTTGATTCAATTAAATTTAAGCTTGAATCAAAAGGAAATCCGCTCAAATTAAGAGGCTTGGTTCTTGATTTAAGCTTAAATCTGATTGAACCAAGAGTATTTTTTCTTGTCGCAATGCTTTTAAGAGTCTAGACTCTAGATCCAATGTGTTTTTTTTCTAGTGGCAGCTAATCAGAAGATCAAGAATAAAACGAGATAAAAAAGCTTTCGAACTTCTCTTTGTCATTCCCTTCAGGACGGGTAGGTAGGACAATCCGAGTCCAGGAATTTAGAAATTGCGGAAAAGCGTTGGTATTGCCGTATCAAGAGGGCCGAACCCGGAAGGAAGGTGACATGCTCCGCGGAGCTCTTGACATCATGTTTGTCTCTCTCGATGTGAACTCGAACAATAGGCTTATACATTCGGTCCCCGTTTCATTTGCTTAATTGTTTGTCGCAACCGTCGCTTTGTTTTCAACAAGTTCGCGCTAAGAGGAAACTCATGTTTCATTTTCGCCTCGAAATTTTTTTGCACTTACAGACTTCAGTTCTTTCAATGGAATTCTTTCATGTGTCAGAAATTGGCAATTTTAGTAATTTTCCTCATATAACATCTCACGAGGAACACGATGTTTTCTCTGAAATCACTTCCCAAGCTCAAACAAGCTGCTGGTTCCAACACTACTGTGTTGGAGAGCTCGCCTTTGGGAAACTATTAACAACTATTAATGATTTTTTCTGAAATTGTATTTGTATTAAATGAATCTTTACCCAATTATCAGAGGTTACATGCCGATGCAAAATGTTATGACGTAATTTCATATGACAAATTTTTCACATTACAATAAATAAAGAGAAATAAAGAGAGAGAAATGGAATTATCTTTTATGAATGTGATTTTGCGGCAAATGTTGCAATGGCTATTTTTGCCATCGCATTTTTGTTTCTGGCTTTCATCGTTGATAAGCTTTTTCTTAACTTGTCAACAATGTAATGAAATCATATGATTTAATTTTAATTTTTTTTTTTAAATCAAGTCGCCAACTTGAATTAAGGTTATACTTTGTTAAGCTGGCAGTCTGGAATTCTGAATTTTTATCGGCACAGAGTTCAAAGAAACTATAATTTAGCACGGTTTGGAGGAACGTTTCTGCCATAATTCTTACACAATACTTATGGTATACACTAAGAGCTGAAAAGGAATTCACTTGAATTTTAGCGTGGAGCTCGAGAGACCACTTCAAGCCTTTGTATGCGAGTGGCTCAATGGAGCACATCACGCCTTTGTAGGTATGGGGTGGCTCAATGGAGCACCTCGCGCACTATAAATAGCACGGAGCTCGAAAGAGCACTTCATGCATCTGTATTTTAAGGTTAAAACGAACTCTAAAGAAACTCAATGCGAGGCTCAAACGAATTCTCAAGCATTCTAAATGCGAGGCTCAAACGAATTCCCAAGCATTCTTGATGCGAGGGGCTCAAACGAATCCTAAAGCATTCTTAATATGAGGTTTAAACAAACTCTGAAAGGATCCCAATGCGAGTCTCAACCGAGCTCTCAAGCATGCAATTATTTTGAGGTTAATTAACCTTCTATGGTACCAATAACGGCAATCTTAAGGATTATCCATTAATTATGCGCAAATCTCAATCTTAGTCTTAGTAACTTAAAATTAATTGAACAAATTATTAAATCACGTCGAGGTCACCATGTTTTTTATTTTAAGAAATAATAACAATTGCAAGTACAACTGCACACAAAAACTGCATTGAAAAGATAAGAGGATGATAACATACAATTAGGTTATTTGATATAAAACCATAGCAACATGCTATGATATGCTCGGCCACTGGAAAGTGCTGCTCTCTAGTGTAGCAAACGAGGAACAATTAATCCTCAGTTGAATGAGGGAACGGAAATGTTCGACGGAGGAAAACTGTAACCCGCGAAAATTCAACTTTTAGACCTTGAAATCAATGGGATTTTGGCCGTTCCTCCGACGGCAACGAGAACCATCCATTCGTCGCCACGGACACTACCAATGCTAAAAGAAATCGATCGCAAAGAGCTCTCCCGAGTGGGCGAGCTCAAAAAGCTCTCAAAGCTCTGACCGTAATGAAATTGCCATTTCACGCTATGCTGAGAGTTCACCTCTATCTGGTCCAACTCTCCAGGCACAGATAGGGAGAAAATACATAATAGTCCAGTCAATCTAGCATTTTTCTGGGAAAATCTATATATAGAAGGTTTTTTTGCGGAAACATGTTGCATTAGGCTACCAGAACAACATATCAAAAGTTTACCAAAATCGGCCGTCCGCTAAGGCCGCCATCTTGAAAAAAGGGGGGGCGGGGGGCCAAAATACGCCGCCGGCGACCGGTTTTTAGCTTATATCTTGAAAAATATCGATCCCACGGAAAAATGTCACTGAACCTTTTAAAAAGATCATAAAATTTCCTATTAGAAACACTATACATTTATCAAGTTGCGACTTCTGGTTCGTGAGATATGGCGGTAGTTTCCTGCGGCTAGGAAAGTCAAATCTTGCGAGAAATCACGTTTTTTCAACAAAATCTGTAATTATCTTAAAAACGGCGAGTCTGAGGCAAAAAAGTGTTCTCACCGGAATGAAAGAGCATGAAATTTCCATGCTAAAAATGCTTATGAATTCACTAGGGGGTCCGCCCCCGGAGCGCTATGCGGTCCGAACCAACGGCGGCTACTACGCGGTGAGGCTCGGCTTGGCCGCGCCATGAACTGTTGCGGTCCAAGATGAAACGGCTTCACTTTTTTGGTAGATATACCGCGAGGGTAAGTCATATTATCCATTTAAATATGTGCTAATTTCCTTTCATCATGGAAACCCCCCCCCTCCCCCTTTAGGTCATGCATGTTGTATAGTTAACAAATGTCAACGGTCGCGCTTGAAGATAATGTTATTATTTTATGCTTTCTTATTCAAATTAAATTTGTCAAACAACAAATCTTCTTTTTTCAAAGTAACTAAAAGGAAATGAATTAATACAAAATATAGAAAGAGGGAGTTTAAATTCATCCTCTGCTTCCTCTTCGATCAGTGTTTCTGCTTGATTGCTGCATCCCAAGCCGGAACAATGTAGACAAATGTCACTGCATGGTAGACCAGCTCTCTTACAAGAGCAGCGGTTACTACAGCCTTTCGAACATGTACATGAGATGATTTGTAAAAGTTCTTGGGGGAGGGGGGGGGGTCAGGCGGGTTGAGCATAGGCACAAGGAGAAGCCTGAGTTCCGAAGATTTCCACCCCCATTCTTTGGGATTCCGTTTTCTTCCTCTCCAGAGTTGAACTTGATAATATACACGTAAGAAGTGTTGTTTGCACGCATCTGAAGTTGGAGGCAACGTTTGCAGTTTCACCTCAGTTTTTGCCTTGCCAAAGCACGATTAAAACATTGAAATCTGCATTTGTTCAAAGCAGTAACTGATTTTTCAGCACCATACAGCAAAAGAACGAGTTGCTCACCCGCTTGACAAAGCTCATCTTGAGTGCAGTCGGTTTCATCAAATTTCTCAGCAATACAAGAGACTTCGCCACATTTTTCTAACAGTTTAATAAATTTGTCTTTGCCCTTGCCACGAAATGCTGAAGTAGTATCACATCCACTGACGACATGGATAAACAGAATGCTCTTCTTCAAATTTACATTCGATGTTCGCAATTGATTTGAGCTAAAAATTTGGGCTGCATATTTGCCCTTACCTGGTTTGAGTAATAGGACGTCGCTTGATGCAGGCGTCAAAGCTATCATTAGAACAAGGAGGTCAATGTCTTCACCAACGATTAGAGTACCTATATTGAGAGAGTATGGCCACCGGTGTTACCACCTCTGATTGGCTGAGCCATCTTAGGCTGAATGGAGCCCTTAGGACCCAAAAATGGCGGACGCCATAAATTAATGTGATGCAAAATGACTCAAATTGTAGTTTTCTTTGCTTATCGTAACGAGAAATTTACCCGAATGCACTATTGCGATTCTTTACATATTTTTAAGGCTAATCGTGTGCAATTTTTGAGAAAAATTATCTTAGATGTAGTAAGGTTGGCAGCAAGTGCGGTTGGTGAAAACCGTCAAAAGCTGGTAATGACCCCCCTCCTATCCACAAAAACCAAAACAAAGCACCGCCATTTTTGGGTCCTAAAAGTCTCTCCATGGGGCCCAGTGGCCATACTCTCTCAATATAGGTACTCTACCAACGATAACAACTTGTTTCTTCGTTCCTCTCGGCAGACTAAGAGCTTCATTTACAATGAGAGTATCCGCATCGTCCTCTGCTTGAGATACATTAACTTTTGACTCCCTGTAGTAAAGTGTTTCGATAGCAAGCAAATCAAACGCGCCTTATTCTTTTCACTATAGATAGAAGCAAGTCCTTGGCCACGGATAAAGGAGTGTCCTCACAAAAAATTAAGGCAGGACATTTCTTAAAGCTATAACGTCGTCACCTTTCAACGCTTTTTGTAGAATCTGTTGCGCTTTTTGTTCGTATCCATCAAAAACAATTGAACCTTCAAGACCATCATGCTTTTCAACACATAGGTATTAATAAACGATTCCAGCGCTTAAGGTAATAAACGAAGAAATGCTTGTCTTATTCCTATTTCTATATTTTGTATTAATTCATTTCCTTTTAGTTACTTTGAAAAAGGAGGATTTCTTGACAAATTTAGTTTGAATAAGAAATCATAAAATAATAACATTATCTTCAAGCGCGACCGTTGACATTTGTTAACTATACAACATGCATGACCTAAAGGGGGAGGAGGGGGGGGGGTTCATGATGAAAGGAAATTAGCACATATTTAAATGGATAATATGACTTACCCTCGCGGTAAACCTACCAAAAAAGTGAAGCCGTTTCATCTTGGACCGCAGCAATGCATGGCGCGGCCAAGCCGAGCCTCACCGCGTAGTAGTCGCCGTTGGTTCGGACCGCATAGCGCTCCGGGGGCGGACCCCCTAGTGAATTCATAAGCATTTTAAGCATTGAAATTTCATGCTCTTTCATTTCGGTGAGAACTTTTTTTTGCCTCAGACTCGCCGTTTTTAAGATAATTACAGATTTTGTTGAAAAAACGTGATTTCTCGGAAGATTTGACTTTCCTAGCCGCAGGAAACTACCGCCATATCTCACGAACCAGAAGTCGCAACTTGATAAATGTATAGTGTTTCTAATAGGAAATTTTATGATCTTTTTAAAAGGTTCAGTGACATTTTTCCGTGGGATCGATATTTTTCAAGATATAAGCTAAAAACCGGTCGCCGGCGGCGTATTTTGGCCCCCCGCCCCCCCTTTTTTCAAGATGGCGGCCTTAGCGGACGGCCGATTTTGGTAAACTTTTGATATGTTGTTCTGGTAGCCTAATGCAACATGTTTCCGCAAAAAAACCTTCTATATATGGATTTTCCCAGATGACCCTTATTTAGAGCTAAATTGACTGGACTATAAGCAGGGTTGCTACTTTGTCTGGAGGATCCAAAGTTGGAACCAACTGCTAATGTAGTTGCTCCCTACCTTTGCAAGGAGAGTTGAGCCACATATACAGATAGACTCTCAACTTAGCGTGAAATGTCCCCTCCATTACGGCCTGAACTTCATGATTTTTTTTTTTTTTTTGAGCTTGGGAGTTGATTTCAGAACAACCAGTGGAATCCTCTTGTTTCTCTCGAAATTTTTCATAAAGAGAAGTACTTTAAACGCAGCTCTCTAACGTAGGCAAGAACTGAATATTACCGGGTAGAGTCCCTTTATACCCAGAGTTAAGACAACTCACTTTTGGTTGGGCCAGGGTTGGGCTGGAAGTGGCCTAAAAAAAAATCCAATTCTGATTGGTTCTCGCTCATGGAGGCCGAAACGAGTGCACCAAGATGGCGGTACCTTGAAAGTGAACAAGAATAATGAAAATATTACCTAATTGTGGTTTATCGAGAGTAAATTGTTATTGCCATCGGTCCAAAATGAAAATAGATTAAGAAATTATTCACAAACCAATCTCATTTTCTTTTTAATTGATCAATTTGTTGATGTTGTTTTTGTGCGACAGACATCGCAGGATTCCTGATCCTTATCCCTCAATATCGTTCGTTTGGGTGCACTCGTTTCGGCCTCCATGGCCAGCCAAGGCCGGCTGCCAGTCAGCTGATAATCGAGTTGTCTTAACTCTGGGTATAAAGGGACTCTATTACCGGGCTGAGTGGCTAAATATTCTTCTGGACGGACTAACCTGGAGTCTATTTTGTACTATGGACACGGGTTTGTCGACGGTGAAGGTGAGGCCCCCGGCGAGCCCCACGTGGTCCTGGAGGTTGTCCCCGACCCGGAGGTCCGCCACGACAGGGATCCCGTGCTTGTGCAGGTGTTCGCTAGGACCGATTCCGGACAGCATCAGGATCTGCGGACTGTTTATGGCACCGGCAGATAAAACCACCTGAAAATCAAAAGCGAAAAATAGTCATCAATAAAGATAGGCGAGGAGGCAGGTGGTAGAGTACCTGTATAGGGAGAGTACCGACAGATCTGAAACTCCGAAAGTCCATCAAGCCTTCACCGATGCCTCCGCGAATAAAGTTAGGGCCCAAAAGGGCAGCCAACCTATGAATTTCAATTATCCAGAGCGATTTACTGATACTATTGTTACGAACCGTCCTTTATTAAGCACGTGTTTGACTCAGTTTTTGCATAAATTTACTCAATTTCGTGGAAGAACGCTCATTTCTGTACATTCTTGGCCATCTTGGTTAGAATTGGAATCTGCAGACCGGCAGTGGAATTTTGTGCGTTAGAAGTTGGTTAGAAGAGTGGCTGCACTTTTGGGCCCTAAGCCCTCCATGAACCGATCTGTCGGTACTCTCCCTATACAGATACTCTAGCAGGTGCGAGAAAGCGCTTTCATAGTCCAAAATTTCCGTGTTCATGGGTTGTTTTGAATTTTCTCTCCTAGAATAGAAGTTCTAACGGATTCCACCTTTTCTAAACGTGCGTTAAAGTCTCCAAGAAAATAATCGCGCCACTTGCAAAATCGTGCGATTTTGTGTCAAACGCACCGGACCGAGGCTTTATTGGACTACTTTTTTTAAACATAAAGAACTAATTTATGTGGCTCACTCATAGAGGCAACTGTCACCCCAGGAAAATCATTTCAATAGAACACACATTGTTTCTAAAACGAACCAGAAATAATAGCTTCTTGTCGCAAAATGGAGTCCAATTGGTGTTCTACACAGTTAAAACTTTACGTGTTCATGATTACTTTAAGTTAACTTTTTTTCTGTCAGATCAAATTAATGGACTTATAGTTGAACGAGTAATTTTTGGTTAAATCGACCGAAGCTCTTAAGTTACTCCGAGCCTTTTGAAGAAAGTGTCCTATAAAACAGATGTGTTCATGTTTCTTTCGATGTTACTCAGAGGTTGCGACTTGCGAGTGACCATATGCAGCCCTAAGAATCTGCAAAAGCACATAACCGCACAACTTCCAAGGTTTGTGAGTTTTAAACTCGCAATGTGAAAGATCTCGTCCCACATGATGCATCCGACTGATTAGCCGTGTATACAGCCCTGAGAGTCTCCAAATGCACGTAACCACACAACTTCCGCGGTTTGTGAGTTTTAAACTCACAAGTACAGGATCTCGTCTCATTTGATGCGCTCGACCAATTAGCCGTGTCTGGAGCTAAAAGAATCTCCAAAAGGCCGTTACCACACAACTTACGCGCTATGTGAGATTTAAAGTTAGAAATGAAAGATCTCGATTCGCACGATGCGTTCGACCGCGATTACCCGCGTATGCAGCCATGGGTCTCTCCAGAAGCACGTTACCACACAACTTCTGTGCTTTATGAGTTTTAAACTTAGAAATGAAGGATGTCGTCTCTCATGATACATTCGACAGATTAGCCGTGTGTGCAGCTCTTAGAATTCCCAAAAGCAGGTAACCGCACAACTTCTTCGCTTTGTGAGTTTTAAACTCACAATAGCCCATTGGACTATCATTAATTCGATCCTGGTTCTACATATATCTTGGCGTTTTCTGTCTGACTTTAACGAGGTTCCAAAGTTAAAACCCAAAGATTTGGTCAATGTAACTCAAAGAAAAACGTATCAAAAATAATGGACGCACGTTCAGGTTCCTGTCCGTTCTACTTCCCATTTTAACACACGCTAACGCATGAGCGCCTTCGTTTATTCAGGTTTGCAACGCGGACATCCGCTGAACACGAAGAGTTGCATCCAGACGATCCACGCGCTACTGTCAACGTGCTACGTAACCGTGTATCGAGATTATGAACACGCTGTTCATAAGCGCCTTCGTTTGTTCAGGTATGCAACACGAACACGAATAGTTGCATTCAGACGCTGATATTATTCAGTGTAACCTGGAGAACAACTAACCAAATAATAACCGCACTTTTCGGTTTCATTGTGTTCTACTGCCCAAATGTACACAAAACTTCGGTTACTTTTTCTCACTGTGCAGAGATGCAGGGGCCTTTTTACAGATTATACCCTCCTTCCGATTTTGAATCGGGCGTTACTCTGCCGTGCTAACGAAAAACGCCGTATGAACATTCGAGAGTTGCCAAATTTCCTCCTATTAAATATTCATTTCTGAGGAAAGTTATGAATATGTTTCCTTGAAATTTTCAGACTTTTTAGTCGAAACTACGGACAAAATTCTGTGAAAAATCGAAGCAGATACATTCACAGATTTTCCTGAAAATTCGTGATTTTTCGAAGGAAATTTGGCAACGCCTGATGGCTCATACGGCGTTCTTCCTAAGTACGACAGAACTGCTCTCTTCTCTAGAATGACAAAATGGATCACCGTAGATCAAATTTATGGCCACGCGACGCGACTGCCAACGAGGGAGGTAATCTTATTCTACCAGTCACGGACCTCGGGAGCCCGCAGTTCACGAGGCGGGGGGCCAACATCTTAATCGATTCATTCAAAGTAAATAATAAGCAGAACAGCAGGATACCCCAGGTATACTCACGAGCGTCTGTCGCGCGTCTGGGACAGAGAGCACACGCCCGGACAGCGCAAGTCTGCTTCCTGACACCCGAATTCATTTCGGCGACTAATCTAATTCCGATATTTCGGCTCTGAATAAATTGCCGCCCGAAACTTATCTAATTCCAACTTTCGCGCTTCCAATTTGCCAATGATCCAGGGCGAGGCGCCGGGGTTTTCGGGTTTCTCGCCTTGTTGCCGTAGTTATATGAGCTAGCAGGGTGTCTACAAGTCTGGAAATAGTACTGATTTTTTAAGGGTGGTCCGGAAGTACTCAAAAAGTGCGGAAATTCCGCAAGAGTTTCCGGAATTTTTTTCATTTTTGAGCTCGCCCACTCGGGAGAGCTCTTTGCGATCGATTTCTTTTAGCATTGGTAGTGTCCGTGGCAACAAATGGATGGTTCTCGTTGCCGTCGGAGGAACGGCCAAAATCATATTGATTTCAACGTCTAAAAGTTGAATTTTCGCGGGTTACAGTTTTCCTTCGTCGAACATTTCCGTTCCCTCATTCAACTGAGGATTAAATTGTTACTCGTTTGCTACACTAGAGAGCAGCACTTTTCGGTGGCCGAGCAGACTTGATTCACACCAACACGAATTTGTTTGTGTATGTGTTCACCTTTATGCTTAATTATTATATGTATTACATTTTTTCTTGTATTTTTGCATTTCTAATCCTTTCACATTTTCAAAAACTGAAGTCTTATTTTTTTGCTGTTCCGTTGCGATAAAATTATCAGCTGACTGCTGACTCTATGCTATCTTATTGGAGAATCTCCCAGTTTCCTCGGTTACATAGTGTAATGGAAAATCCTTCTTTTCATGCAAATAGAAATTTGGTGAAATTGGTTAAATTGTGATAATTGTAAGAAAATGAAGAGGCGCTCTACAAATCAGTTACTGCTTTTTGAACTCGTTTATTTTTTCCTATTATCACAATTTAACTAATTTCACCAAATTTCTTTTTGCATGAATTTGCTGTTATTGTTTTATTCATGATTTAGTTTATGTATTGCGGTGTGAAAAATTTGTCATGTTAATAGTTTCACGAAGGGGAGCTCTCTAACACAGTAGTGTTGGAACCAGCAGCTTGTTTTGTCATTGTTGTCGCAATTTGAGCGAGAAATTCAAATTTTTGAAATTTTTCGAGTTTCGTCAATTAAAGGTACTGGAAAAGTATGGAATTTTTCTGTTGAGGAGGCACTGAACTTTTTGGGAATGCACTGAAAATGTGCTGTAAAAGCACTGATTTTTGGCTAGCCTCTTTTAGTAGTTATCCTAGATAGGATCTTTGAGAGTCCGTGCATTTTTTTTAAAACGTGAATTTTATTTTAAAAAGCCCGCAATACTCTGAGAACTTACACACGCGCCGAAATGGCGGGAAAATGATGAAAGGGATTTGTCATGGCAGTCAAATCGCAATCTGTTCACATTTCCCACTCATGTTTTTTAAAATAAAATGTATTTCAACGTGGAATTGTCGCCTGTAAATTACAGTCAACATGAATGAGATTCGATTATTTTATTCTGAAGATACAGATCCGACTCCTTTGTTGCTTTCATATATACGAGGGGTGAAAAGACATTTAACGGAAGTCGTAGAACTCCGTGCTTGCCTCTGATGGTGCCTGATGACAGCATTTGGTTCGGGGTAAAATCGCGGCGTTTTAAATTAGTGGGTAAACATGCACATTTTGAACCACGTATTTCTCGGTTTCTGAGTTACTCCTTCACATTTTTTATGTGCACACCGTGTTTATTGGCGTGGCGTACTTTGCGATGTATCGATTGATGTGCCATTCAAACCTATAAAAAAAGATCGATTTTCAGGGCGTTCGCAACGAACACCATAATCATCTATTCTTTACCATAGCTTCAAAGGGATAATATCGATAGTCGATCGTCACGCCTCGCCACTGGGGCGTCATTTACCTTCAGGAAAATGTATTCGAAAGTCAAAATTCGTTCATGGTTTAGTGACCCATTGTGGGTTGATAGCATGAGTGTCCCTCGATCGTTTGGACTTACCTCTCGTCGGGCAAGGGCGGCCTGGTGGATGCCGTCCCTGACGAACTGGACCCCGTAAGCGCGCTTGGTGTGCGGGTGGATGAGGATCCGCGTGACGTGGGCACCCATGGCGACGTGCAGGTTGCGTCGGTGCCGCGCCGGGCGCAAGAAAGCCTTCGCCGTGCTGCATCGACTTCCCCGCCGAATCGTCCCCTGTAAAATTTAAATTGCAAATTTAAATAATCAAATTAAAGAAAAAAAAATTAAACAGAATTGAAGTTAACGTTATTCTTTGGAACACATTTCAAGGAGGTATCCTCCTCTGTGACTTGGCTTTAGTGCAATGTTAAAAATCGAGGAGTGGAATTCGGTGCCGAAATCTGTACAGCGCTTAAAAACCCCCTAGTGGTATGATTGCGAAGTGAAATTACCCTGATAAAAATATTTGTGTTCTTGGGTTATTTTTGGTTAGTAAAATTTACTTACAGTACATTATTTACGAGCTAAGTAAAATTTCAATTGCTTGTAATGAGTCAGTTTTGCTCAGCGTGATTCCAACTATCCTCTTATCTATGTATTGATTTTTTTCAGTCTTTGAAGAATACTGTTTACAGTTCCATGAGTGTAGTAATTGGACGTATTTCTATCAAACGGAACTATGTGCATTATGACGTGAGCTCTGTTATGCATATATTCTTATGGGTCTCAGGGCTCATGCCTTAATGCACATAGTTCCGTTTGATAGAAATACGTCCAACTGTAATAATGTTGATCCCCCCTTTCTGCCGTTTGCCTTTCGGCAGATAAAATCGACTGCTTTTCAATCAAACCGCTTTCGCAAATCAGTTCAGCGATTAATCTTCTGATTGGGAGTCATGTATGACCTTCTGAGAGAGGGAAAGGAAGTTCATACGGAATTGATGTCAACCTATTGCGCCAATTTTGACGGTGAGCAATCAGCAAGAATTCTACCCGCTGAATTCAGAGCCGCAGCTATATTTGGATGCGCGCGAACCGCAGTCATTGGCTGTAGTGTTGAAAGTTCAGTTAATAGTCTCTGAATTTTGACCTGTTCAACGTAATCGATCGGAATGATTTACAACGTCGCCAAAATTTCGCAATTGGTTAGCTCTTGTCTGCCGTGCTACGTAAAAACGCAGTACGAGCATTCGAATGTTGCCAGATTTACTCTCGGAAAATATTTATTTTTGAAGAAAGTTATGAATATATTAATAAACTATTTTCAATTATGCCTCCTTAGCCAGTCGTCCGATCTTCATTTGTCAGGAAATTTCACAAAAATGAGTCAGGGAAATCAGGGAATTGTCAGGGATTTTCATTTTCTAAATTCTGTGGCAATCTTGGATATTTGCTTCTGTAAAATGAAGTTTCTTAGCCTCTCATTTCGTCACTTTCCGGCCAACGTATCACAAGCGACATGCGACGTTTCAAAATTTCCGCCGCCGTTTTATTTTGTTTACAGAGAAATTTTTCAACGAAGCTGTCCAGAAATTTCACTGAATTTTCTGTGTGCTGCCGATAAAATTCAGTGAAATTTTCGAACAAATTCAACCAACAATTTATCTGGAAAAAAATTAAATTACGGTAGAAATTTTTAAACGTCGCATGGTGCTTGTGATACTTTGGCAGGAAGGTGACGATTTACTGTTTTCCTAATGTGTATCTTTCAAATTCCCGGAAAATGCGTAACAAGTGATCCAGATGCCAGTGTCGTGGCGTCAATGATCGATTATCGATATCCCGCCATTTGGGCAGCGTCCGACTTGGGTCCCGTGGTCCCGTGTCGGTGATTAGGTAACCGACTCGGGTCCCGGTGGACTTTGCTCCCGATCGAGTTGGGTCCCAATGGACTTTGGTCACTCCTAACGTTAAAGGAAGATATTAGTAAATTCGGCAACCGTGCCTCGCTATGGAATCGCCGAGAAGCAACACAATCTTTTTTCTTTTTAATCTTTTACTTTTCTTTTATAGAAAAAACAATACATTTGTTCCTATTCATTTTTATAAATCAGGGAAACAAGGAACGGTCACGTTTTGTGACCTAGTCAGTACAAATAAAACAATCTAAAAATGACAAGACACTTACGACGGAAGGAACTTTTTAGAAACTAAACGAACGTATTCAAAACGATTTACTTCTTTGATCAAGTACTTGGTCATAGTTTCATCTATGAATTTTTTCTTCTTAATTTGTTCAGAAGGTTTAACGGGTGGGGAAGTATCATTGAATTTGATATACGTTTCCGTTTGAACTTTCACTAAAGCGTTTGCTAATGTAAAAATATTTGGACTTTTACATTTACTATTTGCACAGCACCACCGCTCAACGTTTTTGCTTAGTTTTTCATGGAAACGGAATTTATAATTGTTAATCACTAATAACTGTTTGCCTTTTGAACTGAACATATACACCATAGCTGCTCCGACGCTACGTCCGACTGATTACTGATTACTGATGTGGTGTGTAAACAACACCTATCATCACACGGCCGAATGACTGGGAATCTGATAAGACGTGAGACATTTCATCGTTTACATAGTTGCCAAACTAGCAAACTTCCTGATTCAATGCCGATTACGCGGGACTTAATTAGGTTGGAACATAAATGCATTGGGACCCAAGTCGGATCTCCTTAATTGACCGCGGGACCCAAGTCGGATATTTTTTTGGGGAACGGGACCCAAGTCGGAAACTGCGGCCATTTGAAGCTATGGTAAAGAATCGATTACGAAGGTGTTCGCTGCGAACACCCTGATGATCGATATATTTTCATAGGTTTAAGTGGCGTATCAATCGATATATCGCAAAGCACGCCGCGCCACTGCCGGATGCTTTAGGACCGGAATGCACCGAATGTTCTGTGACTGATATTTCACCCTAAATACCAAGTGAGCAATCTCGGAAACCATCTGTTTTTTGCACCGGTTGACGCGACTCTGAGGATCTCGTTGATGATTGATGATGCGTTGCGTCAGAGTGGACACGGACAGCGGACGCGCCATCAACTTTAACAGTTCACCATCCCGGGCGAGACTCTCTCTATGCGCACCGAGCGCTCACAATTTTAGTGCCGAAAAAGTTGCCCAAACTTTGCGCAACGGGGTGCCGGAGTTTATTGTTCGCCGATACTTGCGTCACCGACTATTTTTGCGACCAGATCCGCCGCGAATTTCTCAACTTTGATCGGTTATTTCGACTGGACTAGTCACAAGCCATGAGTTCTCGGCAATCGTCTTTGATGTCGTAAAAAATTTGTCACACGAATCACATGTTCATAAACTACGTAAAGTAGAGTCAGCTTATTCAGACGAAACCATGATGTGTAGAATTATTGATTTTATTCATTCCCTTAGTGTCCCCTGATTTTACCTGATTTGCACGGGAAAAGCTTTTAGGACCCAAAAGGGTAGCCAACCATGAATTCAAATCATCCAGAGTGGTTTTTCATCATATTTGTAATTGTTACGACCCGTTTGTGAAGCACGCGTTTGACCTATTTTTCTCATAAATACACTCATTATTGCGGAAGGACGCTCATGCTCATCTTTGAACATTCTTGGCCATTTTGGTTTGACATTGGAATCTGAAGATTGACACCGAAATTTTTCGGGTGTTCTTCGTTTTAGAAGGTTGGCTGCTCTTTTATGCCCTACGAGCTTCATATTCCAATCTGTCCATCCTCTCCCTATGTAGGCACTCTAATTTTTACAGGAGGTCAGGGAAAAAGATGATGTATGAAATTATCAGTTAGAGATGTCGGTGGGTCTCTCGGTAAAATTGTAATTTAGGGGGAATTTGGCAACATTGAGATGTGGTTACGTTCTTCCGTCAGGGCAACGATGAAATTTGGACATTTTTTTTGAGACCCTCCCTAAAATACAGTCCCTTTATACTGAAAGTAAAGATCCATTCCTGATTGGTTCCCGTATTTTAGGTCTTCACAGTGTCACAAACGGGAATAAAGATTACATTTTCACAGATTGCAAAGAATATAAACTGGAATGGACCGGGGGATGGGGGTTACCACAAGGAACAAATGGAATGAGAGAGGGAACGGAGACAGGAATTCGAGAGTGAGTTGATCAAAGATTACAAAAACCGTCTGATTTGTGTAATCTTCATTCCCGTTTGTGATATCCACAAGCGGCGTTGTCTCAACTCTCTCTATAAAGGGACTCTAGAGCACCTATAGCGAGAGTATGGACAGATCGTTTCATGGAGGGCATGGGGCCTAAAAGTGCAGCCATTCTTCTAACCAACTCTGACACACAAAATTTCACTGTTAGTTTGCAGAGTCTGTAGATTTCAATTCTAACCAAGATGGCCAAGAATGTACATAAGTGAGCGTTCTTCCGCAAAAATGAGTAAATTTATGCAAAAACCAAGTCAAATACGTGTTTTATAAACGACAGTTCCTAATAATTGTATTAGTAAATTACTCTGGATGGTCGAAATTCATAGGTTGCACTGGAAAAAAAAACCACATTGGATCTAGAGTCCAGACTCTTGTAAACACCGACAAGAAAAAATACTCTTGATTCAATCGGATTTAAGCTTATATTAAGAACCAAGCCTCTTAATTTGAGCGGATTTCCTTTTGATTTAAGCAAAAATCCGATTGAATAAAGAATATTTTTTCTTGTCAATGTTTTCAAGAGCCTGGACTCTAGATCCAATGTGTTTTTTCCAGTTTGGCTGCATTTCTGGGTCCTAAATTTGTTCGCGGAGGCATCGGTGAAGGCCTGACGGATTCTCGGAGTTTCACATCTGTCTGTATACTCTCGCTATATAGGTACTCTACGGGACTCCACCCGAAAATAGAGAGGTTCCTCACCTGAGCAACCATGAACCCAGCCTGCTCGGCGCCGTTGATGTCCCTGTTCTTGTAGCCGATCTCCTCGCCGGCCGCGACGAAGGCGACGACGAGCGGGGTCCTCCAGGGCGCCTCCTGGATCGTCAGGTACCCGCCGGAGCGGTGGTAAGGCGTCCGCGTCAGGTACGGGTTCCGGTTGTCCTCGCTCTTCAGGAAGTAGTGTATCACGTCCTTGTAGCTCCAGCCCGGGTTCCCTGCAAAAACCATCAAAATCCAACATTTTTATTATTGATATTTCTTGTCAGGAACACTGAAATGAAAGATTGGTAGAATTTACCATTCCTTCACGCTGTATTTCACACAGCGTCAATTCAGAGTCAATTCTGCCAGAAGAAAGGCAAGCGTTACTATATACTGGTACAGGTAAAATTGACCGTTTTCGTCATCGATATTTGGACTGCGTTAAGCAGAAAGGAACCAAGCCACTTCAGTTATTGCCAAATTTAGCTGGGCAATTTAATTTATTACATGAAAACGGTGAAGCGGATTTGTTTGAAAATTTCAGTGAATTTTCTGCATGTTACAAGGCAGATGCCTTAAAATTTTAAAAAAATTCGCACAAATGTTCTCTTGTAGAAAATTAAATATCTCAGTTAAATTTGCCAACAGCCGATGTGGCTCAGTTCCTTTCTGTTAAACGCGGTCCATTTCTTGTAAGTAACACCGAACAAAAAGATTGGTAGAATTTACCATTCCTTTACACTGTATTTCACACAGCGCGACGCACGGACCCCCTTTTACCTCCCAAGGGGAGGCGGGGGGAATCTGGAACCATAAAATTCGGATTCCTTGGGGTCGATTTTCTACTCATCCCCGCGATCCTGGACTTAGAGCGACGCAAATTAATCGAAAAAAAGGCCTGTTACGGTAGGTGTGGGCCACCCTGAATGGTCAATACGCGGTTCAACCCCTAGAATGCGCTTCTCACCCTCTCGGAGCCTCGATTCATGAAAATCGATCTGGTAGATATTTAGAATGAACCATGACAAAAATGGGCATTTACGAAAGGCCTGTTTTGGTAGGTCAGAGCCACCCTGTATACTGCCGTGTTAAGGAAGAACGCCGTATGAACATTCGAGAGTTGCCAAATTTCCTTCGCTGAAATGTCTATTTTTGAGGAAATTGATGAATATTTTTCTCTGAAATTTTCAGAAACTTTAGGTGAAATTGCGAACAAAATTATCTGAAAAATCGAAAAGAAAATATACATAAGTTTACAAGGAAATTAACATTTTATCGAAGGAAATTTGGCAACGCCTGAAGGTTCATACGGCGTTTTTCCTTAGCACGGCAGTATATGAGCCCAATTAAAAGTGTTCTCCTCACTAGGAGGGATCTCCCAACTTTCTAATGGTACCAGGCACCTATCCCTCGCTAAATGAAACCGGAAGCACTTTTGAGTCTGCAAAAGTTAGCTTTGGAAAGCCCGAGCTTTTAGTGGCGCCATTAAAGCGACAGCTTGGCCGCGGCGAAAAAGTGCGGGAAACAGAAGCACGCGACAAACGGACGGTTATCTGACAATCGGATCGGACGAAGAACAATTAAAACTTCACATCACGTCACATTCACGCACTGCGGCGCCCGTCGGATCTTCCGGGTCGGTCTCCGATCCCGCTCCGATCGAGTAAGTTTAGAGGAGTCCTCGCTGAAATCTCGGGAGATAATCTACAGTAATTGGCATTGTTGCCACGCCTGATAGTTTTTCAATCGGCAGTACAGGATGTCTACAAGTCCGGAATTTCCGGAAAGTCCGGAAAAAGTACTGATTTTTTAAGGACGGGTCCGGAAGTACTGAAAGAGTGCGGAATTTTCGCAAGAAGGTCCGGAATTTCTTCATTTTTGTGACTTTGAGCGATAAATTCAAAATTTTGAAATTTTCCGAATTTCGATAAATGGAGGTACTGAAAAAGTACCGAATTATTCTGTTGAGGAGGTACTGAATTTCTTGGGAATGTACTGAAAAAGTACTGTATAAGTACTGATTTTTGGCTAGCCTGTTGTAGTAGACACCCTGCAGTAAAATTTCACTCAGAGGTTATTTTTCCTAGGAACCTTTTCCGGCTCCTGTTATCAACCGTGGGTCATTTTGGACGGACCAGAGTCATATGTGACAGGATTTGTGTAAATGGACCTTATATTCCAAAAGTTCCAAGTTTATTTATTGGTGCCACCGCACAGAGGGAGAAAATCTGGACATTTTAACGCAAATTTGACCTTGAAAGTTTAAAAATTAAGGGAGATTTGACGTACTGGAGTGCAAAGTCAAACATTCTTAAGCTTTAGGTTAAATCTAGGTCAGGAACTTCAGCATGCACACCAAACAGCACTGGAAAAAAAAACACATTGGATCCAGAGTCCAGACTCTTGAAAACATCGACAAGAAAAAATACTCTTGATTCAATCAGATTTTTGCTTAAATGAGAAGGAAATCCGCTCAAATTAAGAGGCTTTGTTCTTGATTTAAGCTTAAATCTGATTGAATCAAGAGTATTTTTTCTTGTCGATGTTTTTAAGAGTCTGGATTCTAGATTCAATGTGTTTTTTTTTTTCCAGCGCACCAAAAAGGAGCATCTAACGCCTTTGTGGTGATAAAATAAGACTAAATCCGCGCGTAGCTTGCTCCCAAAGCTCGCAAGACCTGGATGCAACTATTCGTGTCTTTTGGATATACGTGTAGTATTTGCAAAAGTGAAGGCGCTTGTCTTGTGTAACAAAGACGTCCTGGCGATAAGTGAAAACTTCGACTTTCGGGAATACCTCACTGAACCATCGCAATTTTATGCTTGTTGGTTGTTGAGTAACGTGTCGCGAAGCTGATTTGGTAAACAATCCCATGTTTGTTAGACTTGGCTGGTGCGCTGTTTCACCTGAAGCTAAAAACTACTGAGAATGTCAGCGATTTTCGTTGACGTTTATCGCTAAAATCGTGTTTTACGTGAAATTTTGAGTAGTGGGCTGATTTATGAAATTGATGGACAAGAAAAAACATGAGACAAAGAAGGCAAAAGGGATTTATAGGGATTCTATTGGTGGAAGCGGGTGGTTGCAATGGACAAAGAAAGTAGATAATGGACTAACTAACGGCAACCCACAAGAAACCTTATAGTTGGTCTATCATTTTCTCTTTTAGTCTATGGGAACCAACCGTTTCAACCAATGGGATCGCTCCATCCACATAATGTCTTGTGCGTCTATGCAGCTTTGTCTATCAATTTCAACGATTAGCCCTCTGATGGATCGTAGCTCCAGAGAAGTCGTAGCCTTTACTAAAAGACATTGGTTTAATTGTATTGTCCAGCTACACAATGTTTCTGCATTGGTCCAAAACTCTTTAAAACCCTATCATTTTTAAGGCTAACTAAAAAAAAGTCTGGTTTAAGTTTGTTTTCGTATCCATGCGTTGAAGTCTCCGAAGTTAAGGACTCCTGAGAAGTGATTTTGAAACGATGTGCACTGAAAAATGTATGGATTCATGCTCAACTTTAAAGCCTCTGCATAGCAATTGAAAGTTAATCCCATGTAATCCCATCAATTTTTAGTTAATAACAATAATATCTATGGGAACCAGCTATTTCAACCAACAGGATCGCTCCATGAAAACTCTTAAAATAACTCACTAGTTAACACACTCACTAACGCATAAAACTCTATCATTTTTAAGGCTAACTAAAAAAAGTCTGGTTTAAGTTTGTTTTCGTATCCATGCGTTGACGCTCCAAAGTTGAGGACTCCTAAGAAGTGGGTTTGAAACGATTTGCACTGAAAAATTTATGGATTCATGTTCAGCTTTAAAGACTTCGCATAGCAATTGAAAGTTAATCCCATGAAATCCCATCACTTTTTAGTTACACTGGAAAAAAAACACATTGAATCTAGAGTCCAGACTCTCGAAAACATTGACAAGAAAAGGACTCTTGATTCAATCAGATTTTTTTTTTTTAAATCGAAAGGAAATCCGCTCAAATTAAGAGGCTTGGTTCTTGCTTTAAGCTTAAATCTGATTGAATCAAGAGTATTTTTTCTTGTCGATGTTTTTAAGAGTCTGGACTCTAGATCCAATGTGTTTTTCTTCCAGTACAATTGAAAGTTAATCCCATGAAATTCCGTCAATTTTTAGTTCATAACAATAATATTTATGGGAACCAGCTATTTCAACCAACAGGATTGCTCCATACCCCAAATGGCTTCCTTATCAATACTTTTGTCTATCAATTTCAATATTTAGCCCGCTGATCTGGCAACATACAAGGCGGATTTTCTCACGGCTCGACATGGCGGGATCGGAACAATATTTTATGTAAAAAGCGAAGATGTAACGCGTGAGCGCGCGGCACGAGCGGCGCACGAAACCGCGCGTTCGATTTCGTACGAGTTTCAGAGCGTGAAGCTACTCTTCGGAAGCGGCTGACCCCGAGAGCGGCCGCCGCGTTGCGCAACGAGGATTACCCGGCGCGCGGCCCGTTTCGTAATGGTCGCTCGCACTCCGGGTCTGCAAGTGTTTTCACGTGTAAACCCACCGCCCCCGCCGGGAAAGTAAATTCGGTGAAGTTTTACCGGGAAGGTTGGTGTGGTGCCCTCCAAGTACGGACTCCTTGAGTGCTTCCATCTACGGTCGGTTGACTTTTGAGGTCCGAGGGATTACGTCGTTGGGTCAACAATCACTGGGTCACTTCATGTTTGCCGACTTTAGGATCACAAAACATGTGTTCTCTGCACAGGTAAAAAAAACCTCTTGGACCAATGCCGCATTGCATTGACTTAAGAGTGCAGTTTCTTGTCGCCGGATTTAAGAGTCTTGAACTCTTGTTTCAAGCGGATTTTGCATTGAAACAAGAGTCCAGACTCTTAAATCCGGCGACAAGAAACTGCACTCTTGAACCAACAGGTTTTTTTTTTACCAGTGTGTACTGCCGTGCCAAGGAAAAAAGCCGTAAGAACATTCGGGAGTTGCTAAATGGACTGAGTTAAGCAGAAAGGAACCAACCCACATTTTGGAAAAAATTGAATTATGAGTGGTTTTGAACTCAACCACTGCACTACAATCTATCGCCAAAAATAACGTTTTTGTTGGAGCAAATTTTGCAGAAATTGAACTTGAAGTTTATCGTTTACCTTGAGTCTTATGCAGGAGCCAAACTTTAAACCTCTTTTTCTCGGTTCAATCCCGATGTGGCTTGGTTCCTTCCTGTTTAAC